CCCTGGGAATGTCCAAGGCCAGGTTGGATGGTGTTGGAGCAACCTGTGCTAGTGGGAGGTGTCCCTGCCCATGGCAGGGGTTGGGACTGGATGAGCTTTATGGTTCCTTCCCACCCAAACCATCCTGGGATAAATCAAACCAGCTGTGAGGACGTGACAGTCCAGTAAAGGTGGGGCAGATCCAGTTCCTTACTGGACATGCTTGACTTTATAGGATTTACTGAAAGATTCCTGCTCCCTTTTCCACCTCCCACCCTTGGCTTTCCTGATGGTGCTGAATCCGTTCCTTGTGGCTCCAACAGCCGAGGTGCTCCTGAGGGGCAGCGCCCGGGGCTGTGTTAATGGAAGTGACCCCGGGAACTGGGATGTGCCTCCCATCAGGAATCGGCGTTTTGGAGAGGACGGTGCCGCTCACAGCGACATTTCTTTTCACAGTCAGCTTTTCCCCCTTGTCTTGGCACAAGTTGCTGCCTTAGGAAGTGATAACACTGGAGGTGCTTATCTGAGCCCAGCAGCCCTGCAGCAGGAATGCTGCTGGGGGGGTGTTTGTGGAATTATCGACGCTTACATTGGAACCTTCCCCCTCTGTTTTCAGACTTTGCGACAAAACTCCGGGGATTCGGTGGCTTCTTCCAAACCCCGTGAAAATCAATAAAAAGCCTGTTGCAGATTTTGTGAAGGTTTGTTTTTTTGGGGGTTTATTTCTCTCCTCTTGGATCTAAACCACAGAAAACCAGTCCAGCTCCTGCTACTCGAAATGTGTGTCTTGCCTTTTGAAAAGCAAATCCGTGGCCAGAAAACTGTCTCTGAAGAGTCGTTCTGGAGTTGTGCAGTTTGCCTTCAGAGCTTTTTTTTTGGTGTGTGTTTAATAAACTCCCTCAAATTCCCCTCAAAGGTGACTTTGTACCACCAGGCAGCTGTGGAGTTGAACTCGTCGCATGATGAGGTTGGTACCTCAAAGGAAAACTGTGCTCGTTCCCCTTTGGGTGCTGGGGTTGATTATTGACCCCTAAGAGTTACTGGAATTGGTGTTTGGCTCGTTGGTTGAGAGGGATTTTAAAAAAAAAAAATAAAAACAACGTTGAGCCCTGTTGCAGGTAACCAAATGTTACTTTTAGAGACTGTTTTATAAAACGCTCAGTTGAAGCTGAGCTGAGGTTTTGGACACTTGGCATCGACACAGGGGCCTTTCTGTTAAAGCACAGCATCCTCAGGTCCCTGTTTGTGTAAATCCTGGCTGAGTGCAGATCCAGGAGATTCCCCAGAGTGGGAACAACGTGTGCAATGGTAGAACTTCTTGTGGTGCATCTGAGATCTGAGCTTTGGATCTTCCTTATATTGTGGTGCCCCAGACTGCCCCCAGGACTCGAGGTGAGGCTGCACCAGTGAAGAGCAGAGCAGGACAATCCCCTCCCTCAGCTGGCCAGCAATGCTGGGCCTGATGCACGACTGTTTTAAATGCACAGTTTTTAATGCACAGCTTCTTCAACCATTTCTTTCTACTGTGTCAGCCCTAAAATTGTCTCCTCTTTTCATTTCTTATTTTCCCTGTCACAAGCCATAAACCAAAGGATGCCACGAATGCCAAATAGAAATTTATTTTATTTAGTGGACCAGAAGGTGAAAATTAACAGTAGTTGCGGCACATCAGAGCACAGGCAATCTGTTTCCAGCAGCAGGATTGTATGGTGTAGAAGTTGGGCTCTCCAGGCACGTGCAGGTGCAGTGTGCTGGTGGGACAGTGCCCAATTCCCTGGGAAGAGCCAATCTCCTGGATACAAGGGAGTGATGTCCCATCAGTCTGTGTGCTTTAGGAGCGGTTGGGTTCAGTCTGGGACTTTAATTGTAGGGTTTGGGTGTTTAGTGTGAAACTTTGTGTCCCAGCTGTCATTCCAGAGCCAGAGGAGACACCTGGGAATGGCTGCTGGGAGACTGTAGGGATGAAGCACTTCAGGTCCTTTCTCCATGGAATTGTTACAACAAATATGTATTTGTGGCAATATTTATATTTACTTTGGAGGCAGTGACTGTTTGTGCAGCATTTGGGAAGTCCAAAAGACAGGGCTTGGGAAGAGGAGCGTTGCTGTTCCCCTTGGATTTTGCACCGTTGGCCCAAATCAACAACCCCTGTTTGGATTCCTCATCTGCTATCTTGGGGGGAAAAATGCTTATTTCAGTGTAAAATTAAAACCCACTTTTCCAGATCAATATAAACCCACTTGGATCCTCTGTAAAATGCTCTCCTGTAGCTTGTGTTTCTGAATAATTTTAATTTTTGTCCACTAGTTAAAAACCCAAAAAATCTGAATGGCTTTGTGGCCACGGTTTTGGAACTGCCCCTTCCCAGAACAGAGGCCTCATCCAGCGCACGTGTCCATCAGAATCCAGCCATGGAATTCCCTCTTTGGGCATGTCAGGTTGTTGTTACAACTTACACAGCAGTTACGTTTTTCCTTTTCTTTGATTCAGCCAAACCCAGTGGAGGAGTCTCCTCTCTAAGCTGCTGTTTCAGAAATGGTTTTTTTTCAAATAAAAGTTCGTATTTTAAAGTATTGTCTTTTCCTTTGCAGCTGCCAATGTGAAGTATCAGGAGAGAATAGTTGGAACCTTCTGGGACAAGAGAGAACTGATTTATTCTCTCGTTCTTTGGTAAGAATTGTGTTTGGGTTTTTTTTTGTAAGATCAGCTCCCTGTTGAAGGTGGATTCTCTGGTTATCATTGATTACTCTCTTAATTAAATGCAGTGTTTTCCAAGACCTTAGACAAAAATCAATATTTGACTGAGTTGGAGTTTGCAACCTTTAATTATTAAATAAAAGGCTCTCAGTTGTGCACAGTCTTGGAGCTGAATTCCTTGTCCTGCTCCTGGTCCTCGATAACGTGTAAGTTGTCAGCTGCTTCCCCAGTAAATACTATTCAGTTACTTCTGCCTGTGGTGCCAGGAAAGAGGAGAAACCCAGGGGTTGAAATGAGGGAAAAAGAGTGTTTATCTCAGAAATGTCCTTCCACCTGCCAAAGGGGAGGAGGAGTTTTCACTGTGCAACAGAAGCATCTTTTGCTCAAGGTAGGTCACATTCCTGAATGTTTAATTCTCAGGTTTTCTGATGCTCCCTTGCCAAAACCTTTGGATTCCAATCTCAAACTCAGAGGGCAACTGTGCCACAGAGTGTAAATAGCTCAGGGGGCAACTCAGTTTGATTCTGATATTAAAATAAATGGAATTTGGAATCTGGATGGGGAACAAAGGGAAACTCTTGGGTACTTCCTTCTTCCTTTTTTCCCCCTCTAGTTGTTTTTTTGTCTTGCTGGAAGTCCAACTGCATCTAAATGTATGTGAATCTAAATGATCCTTTATTTATATAATCTTTTTTGTTTAGAATCACTGGCAAACAGATGGTTATTGCTAGTCTTAATTATGCACATAATTTAGACCAGAAGGCACATCTGAGACAAAAGGTAATTAAGATGTTCCCATAGAGGCTGAACAGAGTCTGAGGTTACAACCTTTGCTCATCATTTATCCTTTCAAGCAGAACATGGAGATGGAGAATTAACAAGACCAACCTCTTTTTTGGTGTAATTTAATACACGTGAAATTGCAGGTGGAATGGCAACCCGGTAAATTGATAATATCACCTTTTTTGGCCTCAGTGCTGACCAAGAAACCAATATTATTTCTGCCAATAACAGCAAATTTCCCTACACTGTGTAGGAGCTGTCTGCTATTTCTATATGATCCTCCTGATAAGGAGGAGCCTGAATTTGGGGGAGCTGCAATGACACTGTTTTCCTGGTCTGTTGTTATCTGAGCTGCATCCCAACATTTCCATTTTCATTCTGGGAAATGGGTTTAACTATCAGGGAAGAGCTGATTATTTGCCAACTATATTTAAATAGGATGAGAATTCTCATTCCAGTCTGCAGCAAACCCAGAAAAGGGGGCTGGGTGAGCTGGGGCTGGGCTGGGCTGTCCTGGGAGCAGCAGGGGGGAATTTCCCTGGGGAGAACTCAGGAGTGGCTGTTGGAGCTGCTGCTGAGCAGAATATTCCTGCTCTCACCTCTGCAGTCAGGATCTCCTTCTGAGCTGTCCCACAGACACTGACCCTTCCTCTGTTCCCACGGGTGACTGGAGCAGCATGCTGAGCTGGGAATGGGATGGAAGGCTGGGGGCTGGAATGGAGATCCCTGTGGATTCCCTGGGCAGCGTGTGGTCCATCCCTGTCCCCGGTGCTCAGCCCATGAGATCACAGAGCGGGCTCAGCTTGTTGACACGGTGGGAAGGCCATTATTCCTTTCAGTGTGCCCAGTGCCCATCAGATCAGTGAGTTCATTGTAGCAGTTCAGCCTTTCTGGCTATTTTTGTCAGCACTTTTCAGAACTGCTCTGTGCGGTGGCAGCGGCGTCGCTGGAGCGTTGCAGCGATCCCAGACCCTGCAAAGTGTTTTGCTTTAGAGCCAGTCCTGGAACCTCCTGGGCCGTTTGTCTTGGCAGCATCACCTTTGTGTCGCATAATCCTGATTAAAACTGAAACAGGCATATTTCTTTTCCACGCAGCTTTCCCAAAATTCACCTTAAAAAGGCAGATTCTCACATTCATGGAAAAAGCCACGCTCTTATGGTGGAAGCTGTTTTGCAGCTCAGTGCTGGAGTCAGACTGAAAGTTGGGCAGTAATTTGGGTAGTCCCTGCTGGTGGTTCATGCTGGTTTTTAGGAGCACAGCTGTAAGATATTTTAAAAGACTTAATTTTTTTTTTTAAGCTTATACTGATTTTATTAATGTGTAGGTGGTTATATAATAAACTTCAAATATATCCAATCAATCTGAAGTACGAAAGAACAGTTTTGTCCAGCACAGTTCCTAATAGATTAAATCTTTTCCTCAGATGTATATAATAAAGCTCATCTTTTTAATTAGGTTGCTGTTTCTTTGATAATTGTGTTTGAAGCTGAAGGAAGTTTTTAAATAGGTATTTTTTGTATCCCAGAATTGTGGAATGGTTTGGGTGGGAAGGGACAGTAAAGCCCATCCAGTGTCACCCCCTGCCCTGGGCAGGGACACCTGAGGGAGGAGCTGCACGATGGACAATCAGGCTGTTGCTCAGCCATCTTCCTAAACTTAATTGAGCAGGAGGCCCATTCTTGAATCTTGGAGATGGAGGAGAATGGGAATCGTGGAATGTGAAAAGCCCACAGTGAGAACCAAGTGTTGGAAGTGGGAACAGATGGATTTGGGGGCACTGCTGAACCCTGGCTGGTTTGGGAGCTGCAGGCCAGGACCAGACATGGGTTTGGGAGAGAAATCCCTGAACACAACGTCCCTAAAGTGCCAAGTCATGCTGGAATCACCACCAGCTCTGCTTGGCAGTGCAAGGGCTGGGATTTTATGGTCTCTGATACATTAAAAGTCAAACCTGATGAATTTATGGTCTTTTAAGCTTTAGTCATTGTGCTGCTTGGATGTTCTCATCAGTCCCAGCATGGGTTATCACACATGATCCATCCGTCTTCCCTGCTTCTCTGGAACTAGAACGTTAAATAATCCTGCCTTTTTGAGACAGAAATGTTAAATAGCCCTGCCTTAAACCAATATTAGCAGTATTATCGTCTCATTGTGCTGTGGTAGACAGCATTTTTACATTTTCATAGTTTCTGATAACTTAAAAGAATGTTCCTCCTCTCCATTGTTACAGGCATGGACATTTCTGGGCTGTTTTGTTCCTTATCAATTTCCATAGGTGATAGATCCGATCTTCTATCAACTCTCCTAGCTTTTCTTTTTCTTAATTTTCTGAAGTTAGGATTTTATATCCACTTCTTGCATTAATTTTTAGTGAATTAATGGCCATTTCAGCTCAGTTCTGCTCAGAATCTCCTCCTTTTATTTCTGTATATGAACACACATCTGTGCCCATGCTTTGTGTGCATCTGCTGCTCCTTTTCCCCCTGTCAATATTCCGTACAATGTGCAGGATGTGTGTGGGGGGCTCCCTGCAGTGCTGCTGTGCTGAGCTCCTGGATTGCAGGGGGTTGAAATGGCTCTCTCTGATAATTTGAAATATATTCATAAGTGACACGTGAACTGAGAACTCGAGTTTGTCATTTGTATCTTTAATGTGCCACAGTCTGCAGGTCCCATAAAATCCCTGGGGGAATCCTTGTTTAGCAAAAAAGGGAAGAACCCACTGGATTCAAAAAGCTGAGTGTGAATCAATCTCCAAATCAAACTGTAACTCTGCTGCTCAGTCATTACGTCCCTAATGGGGTGATTTGCACAAACCTCAGGCCCCGTGTCAGTAATTCCAGGCAATTTGCAGCTGATCAGAGGTTGGGGATTGTTGGGTGGGGGAGGGTGATCGGGGACCTGGGAAGGGTCAGTGCAGGGAAATGGGTGTTTGATACATCCATGGATATTAAAAATGAGTGCTGACTGTACAGTGAGCATTTTGATAGGAGTAGGAATTCCAGAGCATGGGCCACAGCTGGAACAGGATTGTTCCAGGAGGATCCCCCCTCCATATTTCACACCAGAGCAGACTCAATGATCCCAACGATCCCTTTGGATTTATAACCCACATATTTGTGATTCACCAGCTGCAGAGGACTTGGGAGAAAATTCCAGGGGACTCAGGAAAATGAATGTGTTTTAATTTCCGTTCTGTAAAGCCTGGTCTAATTGCTGCCTTCAGACAGGTGTTCTCCCAGCAGCACCTCCAAGGGTGATTTTTCAGGATGAACAGAAGGAGCCAGACACAATTTGAAACAATTTTGGCTCTCAGGAGGGGGAGCTTGTATGGATTTCATCTTTCCATAATTACTGCTTGCTCCCAGTTTTCTAACAGCTACATTCTCAGGCTTTAAAAGTTAATTTGTATTTATTTGCCAAAAGAAAACGACTGTAACTTCATCATTATACCCTTCTGGTTTTCTAGATTTTAGTAAGACAAGAGCCTCGAAGTACTGGGAGTAAAGACGAGGATTTCTCCTCCTATCCAGGGCCTGTCATGGTAAGCAGGAGGGGTTTGGGGGGTCTCTTACAGAGCACAAGAGTTTAAATCTGGGAAACTTCAGGGAATTAATGATTACATGGGTGGTTGTTGAGTTCTAAGCACAGTGCTAGTCTAGGCTAATGTTTTTTCCTAATGCTGCTGTGAATCTTTCTGGATCTTTAATGACTTTATTAATCAGGCTGCAGAAGGAAACCTGTTCCCACTATCACATTTAGTTGTCTGAGTGCCTGTCTGTGAAAGTTCAGCAACTTTAGGAAGCTGCTGATCCCTGAATTCCCTGACCTCTTCATGCCGTGTGAGCGTTTCCCGTGGTTGTTGACAGCTCTTGGGAGTGACACGAGGGTAACCAACACTTTGTTCCTCAGGATGAAGAGACTCAGCACAGCCTTGAATGCATCCAGGCTAATCAGATCTTTCCCAGGAAGCAGCTGATCCGAGAGGATGAGAACCTGCAGGTAATCACCACACTGCTCCTGGCCAGTCAGGATCACAAGATCTCCAGCTGACCTGAGGGTTCTCAGGCCTCCTCTGGAGCACTGGAATTCACAGTTAGCACAGGAGTAGCAAGAGCTCATTTTCTTCTTAAATATTCCAGTGGAACAGAGAGCTTGGGCATTGCAGTACAAGAGGTTCCTCAGAGTGTCTGAAAAATATCGTCGTTGTTTTACTAATTTCAAATGCCAGGTTTTATTCCAGACTTTAGAACTCTGTGTCTCTTAAAAAAACAACACTAAGCTAATTAAACCCTGCCACTGCATTTGCTTACTGTGAAGCCAAAAGCCTTATGTTGCACAAAAAAGTGGATATATTTTTTTAATTTGTTGATTTTCCAAAGTTCCTTTTGAAATCAGTTTAGTTCCAATGATTTGCCACAGAGTCCTGGAATGGTTTGGGTTGGAAGGGAGCTTGAAGTTCATCTCATTCCACCCCCTGCCATGGGCAGGGACACCTTCCACCAGCCCAGGATGCTCCAACCTGGCCTTGGACACTTCCAGGGATCCAGGGGCAGCCACAGCTTCTCTGGGCAACCTGGGCCAGGGCCTGCCCACCTTCCCAGGGAAGGATTCCTTCCCAGTATCCCATCTAACCCTGCCCTCTGGCAGTGGGAAGCCATTCCCTGTGTCCTGTCCCTCCAAGTTGGTATAAAACCAGATAATTTTCAAGTTGAGCATTTCCACCTTTCACCCAGCTCAGCTAAACTGGGCTCACGTCACATTTGTGATTGAATGTGCAGGGTGACGTCACTGCAGGTTTTCTTACTTCGTAAAACAGCAGCATGTCGTGCATTTTCATATTTGCAGTGAGAAACATGAAGCAGAAGGTGGGATTTGTCCAGCTGACTTGAGCCCTGGGGGCTCCAGCCTTGGCTGGTTACCTGAGCTGGTGAATGTTGGGGGAACAGCAGAGGAGATTATTCATCCTGGATGTTTTGCCCACTTTGGGATGGATTTAATAACATTATGGAAACACCACTCTCCATTAAGTAAGGAGTGAGAGCATATTTCAAGGGCTTGGCCAGCCTGCTTGCCAAAATATGAGGATATTTTTCATAAAAATTCCTTGCTTTCCCTGACCAAGCATTTCCCACTCTGGAAAAGTAACCGAAAATGAGGGATCATTTAAGAAAAAGCTACAATTAACCTCTGAGCCAGCCTTAGCAGGAGTACTGAGTCCTCAGCAGGGTTCCAGTGGGATTTTAGGGTGTTGCTGAAAGGTTTTCCTGTGTGCAGGTGCCGTTCATTGAACTCCACGGGGAGAGCACGGAGTACGTGGGGAGAGCAGAGGATGCCATCATTGCCCTGTCCAACTACAGGCTGCACATCAAGTTCAAGGAGTCTGTTGTGAATGTAAGTGCTGCCCACACTGGGCTCATCTCCATCACAAAAACAGAGTTTAGGATGACAGCAGGGTGATCCTGCCTTTAAAGGGTAGTGGTAAGGAAAAAATCTCTTTATAGTGTTCAAATCCCATTTCTCAGGGAGAAATCCCATTTCTCAGGGAGAGCAAATAGTTACTTGGGCACCAAAAGGTGACTCAGCACCTCTGGAAATCGAGTTTCCTAAGGAACTGTCACATCACTCCAGCTGATGTTCACTTTACAGCTCTGTCAGCCATGGCTTCTCCCCAGGCTCTGAATGGGAGGAATAAAACCTCTTCCCAAGGGCTTTTGGAGCACCAGAGCTCTGTTTGTGCCTTGCTTGGAGCTTAAAAGGCTGGCAGTGTGTGCAGCTGCTGAAGTGACGTGCCAGATGTTGGGTGACGTGAGTACAGCCACTGACATGAGAGGTCTGGAGCTGGACCTCACCTTCATCTGCACTGCTTTGAACAGCTTTATGCCGAGTGTCAGTCCTTTAAAGTTGTTACTTGTCCAGCTCCTGGTGGCCACAGACACAAATTAAATGGGTGTTGGGTGCTCCTGGGCAGGGTTATGATGCTGACACAGACCAGGTGTGACACCAGTTGTGGGTTATGCAGAGTTTGACAGGACATTCTACCTGGCACAGATTTATGGGAATTTGTAGTAAAACCAGTAAAATAAAATCCAAAGACTCAAAGCATTTTTTTTTTCTTCTTGATAATGAGATTTTTACCAGTCTCCTTATTCCAACCCAATTCCTGACCCTGGCTGGTCACAACTGCCAGTGGCAATCACAGATCCTGAGCTCTGCAGGGCTCAGTTAAGTGTCAGCCCCCACACTGTGTGTTTTTCCACAGCTGGGAGAAGCAAGGGAAGCAAAATATAGGAGATGACAAGTGTCCAGCACATGCATGACTGAGACACACGTGAGCCAGTGATGTGGGACATCACAGAGTCATGGAATCGTGGAATGCTTTGGGTTGGAAGGGACCTCAAAGCCCATCCCATCCCACCCCGTGCCATGGGCAGGGACATCTTCCACTAGCCCAGGTTGCTCCAACCTGGCCTTGGACACTTCCAGGGATCCAGGGGCAGCCACAGCTTCTCTGGGCAACCTGGGCCAGGGCCTGCCCACCTCACAGGGAGGGGTTTAATCAGCACCTGATTTAATTTTTGATGCCATGTCCATCTCAAATTTCAGTTTTTTGTGTTGTTTTGTGCCAGAACCGAATTATTAACCCTGTAAAGATGTTGGTTGTGAACTGAAACTCAGTCTTCAGCATTTTATATTGTGTCTAATCATGTAGCTGTGTTACCTACAGGCTTTGAGGTGTGGCTGGGTCATGGTTATCATCAGTCACTGCATTTTAGTTCATGAATTGTCAGTGTTTTAGGCTGAACAAGCACATCTGCTCCTGGTGAACTCGTGTGTGCAGCATTACAGGGATAACCTTCATGATCTGGGGGTTTTCAGCAGGGTAGGGTGTTATTTCTGACCGTGGCAATGACTCGAAACGATGGCAAAAAAAACGAGGACAAAAATGTAACTGGAAACGTGAGGGCTGTTGTTTCCCACTGCTGACCATGCAGAGCAGGTGGTACAACATGTGCATGTTCAGGGGGAGCATCACTTGACTCTTCACTGCTCTTACTCTGTAGTTAAACCTGAGCTGGGAGTTGAGGCTTCGCTCTGGAGCTGTGGGTGCCGCTGTTGGTGGGGAGGGCTCAGCGGGCTCTGGGACACCTCGGGTGTTCCAGGCAGGTGTTTCAGAGGATTCCTCTGCTGCTCTGGGACACAAACCCCAGTGCCAGGGCTGAGATTGGATTTTGTGATTCAGAGTCTCAGCTGGAGTTGCCGGAGTGAAGGATGGAATGTTGAACAACAAGGAGCTGAGATATGGGAAACAGGAGTGACCTTGGAAATCAGGAGTTTGTCCCCAGGAATGCCAGGCAGTGATGGATTTGCTTTATTAGGGAAGCCACTAGTGCATGGACTGCACTTCCTGTCACAACTGTCCTCAGGATAATTGGGGTCATTAATTTTTAAGAACTTCCAATTGAGTATTTTTGGGCAGTAGCAGGAATTGATGTTTTATCAAACCATGTTCCTTGTTTGTGTTCAGGAAAGAGTCCATAACAGTTTGTCAGCTTTAGCATGTCAGTTTTGCTTCCCTGACTTTCATATCCAGACTGTTCTGCCCTCTCACTCTGTGAGACACCTCATTATCATCAGCATCATTAACCAGAAATAATCAATTAGTGTATGAGGTAGAGCAGAATATAAATCACTCTTTGTAGCCATACATGACCATCACTAATAATGTTCTCTGAACTCTACTGGAATCCAGGGCAGAGAGGGCTTGGGGTGTCTTTAAGGATAAAACATTCTTGCTGTAATTAAGAACCACATTTAAATTGTTAAATTTGGGAGCAATAATCCCTTTGGTTATTATTGATCAAAATTATTGATCAGGTGCCGATTTTCTAAATTAAATCTTCACTGAGTAATTTTTCGTTGAGTTCATTTGATTCTTTCCTGCTGTTTTTACGTCACTAGAGCTGTTCAGAAAACACCTGTAAGAAGGTATTTTTAAAAATGCATAGATGTTTCCTAATGTTGGGAATGGGGTTTTTTTATTCCTTGGAATGATTTTCATAGGAATTCCTGTTTCACAGGAAGCAACTGATGACCTTGTCCCCTCAATGAACACAAGTATTTCTGTGTAAGAAAGAGGATTCTTAGCAAATATCAGTGTTACAGAAGCTGTAAATCAAAGATGTGTATATGTGGAGGAGCAGCGGTTCTGGGCTGGAATCTCCTCTGGAAGGAGGTGGGATATTCCCATGCTATCACCTCCTAAAGGCACTGCCTGGTGGGACTGGAATCCAGGTACAAGTGGATTCCTGGCCTTGGCTTTCACCTCTCTGTGCTCATTTTGGTTACAACTCACCAAAACGGTACCTGTGCCACCCCAGAGTTCCTCCCAGAGCTCCCCACCAGCTCCTGCCCCTGCTGGGAAACAAACACCCTGAAAAAGCTGCTACTGCTCCCCTTCAGCAGGGCAGAAATGGCTGTGTGTGGAAATCCCTGCCATGGATCATTTCCTAGATCACACTGCTAATGGGAACACGGTGTTTCAAATGCAAAAACAAAAGATCCTGCAGACCATGAGTAAATCAGGGGGATTATGACATTCAAAAGTGTTGACTTACATTCATCCCGGGGATTGAAGTGCAGACTCAACAGGGATCTCTGGGGCACATGGGAGTTTGTTTCCCAGGCCCATTCCCATTGATTCCTTAAGAAAATGTCGGACTTTGCAGCTGTGTAATCACTTTTGTCCCTGTAAGCTGATGGCATTGATGGGAGAATTAGCAGTTGGGTGCAGTTCAGGAAAGCAAGGATTGCACGGGGCCTCTTTCCAGTACTGAATTTTGGACACACTGCAAAAAAAAAAGTCATGATGGGAGAGATTTTCAGTCTTGGTGAGGAGGTGAGTTTTAGTGTGAGCTTTCCCTTGCTTGGCCTTTGCTGGATAAATGGTTGGATATTCCTCGTGTCCCCAGCTGCTGTGGTTCATCCCTGCTGGAGAGGAGCTCAGCCCTTGTCTTGTCCTGCTGCTCAGGTTGTTCACACTCAGTGCACGATGGTTGTGAGAGCAGAGAGGGCTCAGTGATGGCCTTAACACAGATCCCAAGTGCCGTTAGTTGTAATTAAAAGCAACATTTGCTTCAGGTCCTCCTTGTATGTCCTGTGGATCCAGGTGGGATTGAGCTCCCTCCACCCCTCGGGAGCTGTCCTGGCACCCTCAGTGCCTCCCCGTGTCACACCCTCCACACTTCAGTGGAACAGTTAATGTCACCAGCCTGGAACAGACAGTTCCAGTCATCAAAATCATTAAAAAAAACCTCTGAAAATTAAAAAGTTTGAGTTGCAGAATGTTGCTATTATTTAAAATGAGATAATTTTGGAGAAGAGACGGTCAGGAGAGAGAGATCCAGAAGAGCAGGATGCTCCAGTAGTCCCTGTAATGGGATGTAATTGGGCTCGGATAACAATGCGTGTTTATTCTTATAAAAGCAGAAATGATTGCTTCTCCCTGCTTGGTTTCAGTGCCATTATCAGGGGGAAGGGCCTGCAGATGGAATTGATGTCTCTCCCAAGAACAGGCTCTGGTGTCTGACTGGCATCAGCCTGAAAGATGGGCAGGGAAGGTTATCAGGGGAGGGAGGGAGAGGCAACAGATAATTCTGCAGAGCTTTCCTGGGGGAAGAAGAATGGCCAGGAAGGAGATTGAAAACACAAGAGGATCAGAGGACAGGTTTTTATGAGTGGGAAAGAAAATTAAAAAGATTAATGGGAAGGTTGCCCTGAAGAGAAACGTGCAGGGTGTGAGGAAATGGCGGCGCATGGGTTGTCAGGGGAGGACGGATGGCTGGGGAGCACAGGGCACAGGGAGAGGGCAGGCAACAAAGAGTGACTTTGAAAGAAGGAAATCAGAAATAATGCAGGAGGAGAAGAATTGGTATGTCACTGCAGTGCAGACAGAGGAAGAGGAGCCAGGAGGAGGCAGCGAGGTGGAGAACTGCCTGAATGAAGATGGACACGGGGGAAAAGAGGCAATAAAAGAGGGCATGGGGGGAAAGGATGTTAAAAGATAAAGCAGCACTGGAGTAAAAAAGCAGGTCTGGAGTCTCACCTTAGCTGGGGAGAGGTACTTTACTTTCCATGTTGGTGCCATTTAACTCAGTGGTAGATTTAAATAACTTATTATAGAGTAATGGAATTGTTTAGTTTGGAAAACACCTCCCAGATTATCAAGTCCCCCCTGTGCCCCTTCCCCACCTTGTCCCCCAGCCCAGAGCACCGAGTGCCACATCCAGTCCTTCCTTGGACACCTCCAGGGCTGGGCACTCCAAACCTCCCTGGGCAGCCCCTGCCAAGGCCTGACCACCCTTTCCAGGAAGAAATCCTTCCTGGGAATTATTGTTAGGTGTGTGTGAGGCTGTCCAGTCAGGAAGAAAGCCTGGAAGATTCTCCAGTCAGGATCCATTCCAGTCCATTTATCAGACAACACTGTCACAATTAACCTGCCCTGCAGACTAGAAACAAGCAGGAGAAGGCATGGAAGGAATGAGCAGGTAAAATACAAGGATTAGCCTATGGAAAGTGCACCTGGTGTGATCTGTGATGCACTTCAGTCTTCTGCAGTTGGCCTTGTGCAATATAATAGACAAACAGTTTTGTACTTCGTGTTTATTACAGGTATTGGCTAAATTTGGACATTTTTTAATTTTATTTGTTTAAGGCAGTAATGTACATTTGTCCATCTCAGGTAAAGGTCCAAAAAGATAACTGAAAACTAATATTTTCCTCCTGTGGTTTCTTCCTGTCTGTAAAGATACTTTTCAGATGCTTTCATGTTCTCCTGAATAACATGCTACCAAACCTCAGAGATGGTTACATGTGCCATAAAAATAAATGCATATAACTACACTCAGATATGAAAGATTCAGCATTGTTGCTCTAAACAGGGCTGCTTCAATCACAGTGTTGATCTGAACAGGCCAAATAGTTTTCCCCTGAAGAGGAAAATCAGGACATTTCCATAGAAAAGCATCCAGACTGCAGCAGTCTTAGATCCTGCTTAGCAGCTCCTTTTGGACACCAACAGTTAAAATTATATTAAGATTCCTAAATTTGGACCTATAAGAGAGAGAGATGCTTCCATGAGAGAGGAGCTGCCTTTCCTGAAGGATTCTCGGCTGTTTCCATGGGATCCCTTAGGGTTTTTGGGCTGTGGAGCTGACACATGAATACATGTTACCAAACCTCAGAGCTGCTGAAGTAGCTTGAATTTCTTTGTTTTCCTCCCTCTTACCATATGGTCCTGCAGTAAATCCCTACGAGATGTGCCAAGGCATGGCTGTTGAGATGAAATAATCCCTGTTTGGAATTGCAGGTTCCACTGCAGCTCATCGAGAGTGTGGAGTGCCGGGATATTTTCCAGCTCCATTTGACCTGCAAGGACTGCAAGGTGATAAGGTATGAGCAGGCTTGGCTTTCCATGTGCTGTGGGCAGCTGGGTTGTTTGAAGGAAGAGGCTTTTTCTCGCTTGCAGGACTTGATTTCCCTCAGAAGATTTCTTTTTAACGTCTGATTTTTGTGTTATTTGGGGCGTCTTTGGAACGAGAGTGGGAGCAGGATGGGCTGTGTGTGCTGTGATGCAGGAGGGCAGCAAACCTTGCTCTGAGCCCCAGGTTTGGTCCTGAAATCAGTTTTGGTCACAGTGTGCTTCAGTAAATCACAGATTTATCAATACCTGCCCATCAGCAGATACAGGAGCAGGTAAATCACTGACACACCCAACACTCGGGGAAGTGCTTAGTGGGGATTTGGGGCTTGTAGGGTTAAAAAGTGGCCTTTTCCAACGTTTTCAACACCTGTGAGGGCGCAGTCACTGCCCTAAAGGCAGAGTAACCTACTGGGAAAAAAAGGGAGAGAATAAGGTTGAAGAAAGTGAGGGAATAAGGAAA